AACATACCAAAGGGAACATAGCTGCCAGATTCTCCCAGCATTCCTCAGTCCCTACCTGTTACAGGGTATGGCTGGTCTCCCCTGGCCCCTACCCTGCACTCTCCAGCCCCAGGGCTGACTGCCCTTCTCCCGAAGCTCTTCCCTATGTGATCCAGCCATTTTGGCTATGCTGGCCCCTCTGCATCTTTTGTTCCCTCTTTGCCCCCTGGCCTCTTGGCTCCCAGATCTTCCTGTTGTAGGAATTTAGCAGAGTCACTAAATTTCGGGTAGATATTAGAATGAACAGCCATTTTTAGAAGTACTTTGACCTTGAATAATCCTTGTGGAAAACAGTGATTGTTTCCTGTGATCTGTAGAATTGGGCACTGTAGCCATCCCGTGACTTTGGTCACAGGATGCCTCAGGCACATCTGAGGCTCTTGTACTATTATGTATTGCACACATAATAAAGGACTAGAGTCATGGGAATGTGTGATACTCTCCTTTAGTAAGACATGTAAATTAGATTAGGGACCTTGGTATGAGGAAATACTTTGTGTAACTTCCAACAGATATGCTTTTGTATGTCTGTTTGGGGTTCAATCCATCAGAGAGGCTGGACCTTCCTGCTGCCAGATAGGTCTTAAAATTTCATCTTGGAGCACCTTCTTTCCTCAACTGACCTGCGGTATATAGTAGGGTGCACCTCGACATCTCCCTTCTTACCTTCCCATCTCTCCTCACATGGCACAGCTCAGTCTGCTGGTCATATCCACTCTGGACTCTCCCAGATGTCTGCCTCTGGCTCTGCTCTCTGGCATCTCTGCAATAAATTTTCTCCTCCACCATACAGAGGAGCAGTCATGTCCTTCTTTTCTTTTTTTTCCTTCACCCTCATGCCTTGTTTAAAGTTATTGTTGCTTATCTTCACTCAAGCAGTTCAAAGGCAGACTACTCCCTGATCACCATAGCTCCCTGTACTGGGCTGACACCAAGGCTCCATCCACAAGCTGTGCCACGGATTTCTTCCTCTGTAATAAAGGTTAGACCTGAGGGCTGTCTCCTATCACATCTACCTCCATTTCTCCTACTGTCGGATTCTTCTCATGGATTCCAAAGTTTTGGATCCCGGGAGGGCCTGTTTGGTACACATTGATTTTGTCTTTTCTTTCCTTAAGTGTTCTCCATTCCCAGAAGAATTCCAAGAACAAGCAAGCAGCCAGCACTCCATCTTCTCTTCCTTCTTCGTTAGTTCTTTCCCTTTTCCAGCAGCTTAGAGGCTAGTGTGAAGGACAGCATCATACTTGTTTTTCTCATTGCAACTTCTCCCTTACATGGGCAATTTTTTTGGGGGAGAGGGCAGATGGTGTAGCCTTAAGTTGCATGTCTTATGTCCAGAACAAGGGCCATGGAACTGATGTCACATCTGGCTTATGATCCTGTCTTACCCATGCTGCATTAGGGGGTGGGGTGAAGGGTGGGTCACAATATATCCTTTAGTCTATAAGTCACATGACAATATGGGGCGTCCCCATTCATTAATGAGGCATCCCACACCATACCGCATAGAGGAGCAGCCATTATGGGATTCTCCTCAGGGACACTCCATCCTACATCGGATCAACCTTCGTTGTATCTTTTTGCCCACAGTAGGGTGAGATGTAGGGCATGAAAATGAACTAATAGGGATAATGCCATTGTTACTGCAGCAACAGAACATGCCAGTTCACACCACAGAGGAAAAGAGCCACATTGGGGTCGCCTGGTGTTTGTTCCGCCCTCAGATGGCTCAGCTCAGTAGGTCTCATCACCCACAGCAGAGACAACACAAATGCTCCTCTCAAATGTGTCTTTGGTGCTTTTATGTCCCTGTTTACGGTGTTCATGTCTTTCCTGGGAAGACATGAACAATTATCTATTATCTATTCATCCCAAGTAGGGCACCAAAACCAGACCTCAAGTTTAGCTGGGTGAGTCAGTGAGTTCAGCTGGGAGCTTACTTACAAGATACTTACAGGAGCATGGGGAGGGGGTTACCCACAGGAGCATAGATACCAGACTTTTTCTTTTGGCCCACCAACCAGCTTCCAAATCATGACACGGAGACTTATTATTAGTTTTGAATGCTTGGCCTTAGCTTATGCTCGTTTCTGGCTAGCTTTATTGGTTTCTTTAACTTAAATTAACCTATTTCTTTTCATCTGTATTTTGTCTCAGGGCTTCTTACCTTTCTTTCTATAGGTCCTACTCTGTGTCTGCTGGCTGGCAGCTGGCTGGCAGCTGCCTGGATGCCCTGGGCATCTCCTTCTCACTTTCTCCCTCGTTCCCCTCCTTGAGGCTAGCTATGGCCTCCTATTTATCTCTGCTGGCCAGCCTCCCCTATCCCTCCTCTGCCTGGTGACTGGCCATTTGGCTCTTTATTAGACCAATCAGGTGCCTTAGTCAGGCAAGGTGAAACAAATGCAACACATCTTTGCATAATTAAACAAATACAGCACAAACAAATGTAACACGTCCTTACATCATTAAACAAATGTAGCATAAACAAATGTAACACACCTTTACACAGTTGAAGTCATATTCTACAGCATCAACAAATGTAACACGTCCTTACATCATTAAACAAATGTAGCATAAACAAATGCAGGACACCTTTACACAGTTGAAGTCATATTCCACAGCATCAGCAAATGTGACACATCTTTCCATAGTTAAATATTCCACAAGAAAAATAGACAACTTATAGGCAACTACACTGCGTAAGTCTTCTAACCCAACAACCGTTCACTAGCATACACCTTGGGGGAGGGGCTGTGCCTTGTGCATCTAAAACACTACTTCACAAGCCCCATGCGCCCATTCTCCCTTCCACAAGGGAATGTTAGAGGGTCCAACCCTGTGAGGGTTTCAAGAGGGTCATCACAGCTGTTCTGACAGCAACATCCGGGGCTCAGAGCACAGCCTTCGGTACCAGGAGGCCACAGGAAAAACTTAGAGGAGACACAGTTAAGGCCGGATGACAAAAGAAGCAGAGATTGGCATGGCGAGGCAGCGGAAAGGGACACCAAGGACTTTGGGTAAATGCCAGAGGCTAGTAGTACAAGACAAGGACGGATTCTTCCCTTGATGCCTCAGAGGGGAATGACCGAGCTGACATTCGGATTCCAGACTTTCAGCCTCAGGAAGGGAGAGAAAGTTGGTTTCTACTGTAAAAATGTACCCAGTTTGTGGTTATGCCACAGAGGCCCTAGAAACGAACACAGAATGGAAAACACGAGGGAAACACTTGGTACCCCGTTAATCTTGATAGAAAAGCAGCTCTATTTGGGGGTAACATGCTATGTTCAAATATTTTAACACATCGCGAAACACCCACACGGTACTAACATTTAAATGATTAATAAGTTGTAACAATGAAGAACTAGCACGAATCAGTTTTAGTATTGTAGACTAGTTATCACAAATAGAGTCTACAATGTAAAAAGGCTCCAAGAGAATGTAGTTAATTTACAACAATAATAAAAATAAGAGCTAATTTGAATCAGTTGCCAAGTCCTATTTTCTGCCGACTGTAACGTTCACTAGCAGGACTTCTCTACAGGTTTAATAGCAAACCAAAGAAGGCTTTAAAACAAGCATGCTACCCAACACCTCTTCCTCACAACTGTCTTTAGAATTTCGGCGGTAAGTAAATAGAAAACTCTTAGGCTGCTGCCATTATTTAGCACAAGGTAGCAGGTGATGCTGATGCCATTCCTGTCGGTACTGTAGTTCTAGAGTGGGTACCAGTCACACCAGTGCCCACGTGTGTGTCTGTGTGTGTGTGAGGGGATGGGGAGTCGGCAGCGGTGTTTTTGAGCATCTGAATCAGATCACAGGGGACCAGACTAAGAGGCTGGTATGTAAGGAAATTTCCAGGGTTTCCCAGGGTTCAGCCAAGGGGTACAGACACCCTAGGGCAGGCTAAGGAAAAAAGAAATACAGCAAACGATTCTGTAAATGAGTATTTCTTTTCTTTCTTTCTTTTT